CTGTCGCGCCGCGTGCGCACGCTGCAGCGCGCCAAGTACCAGCCGGACAAGATACTCTTCTACTTCGATTATGTAATTACACTAATATTTACTTACTTACTTACTGCGTTGGCGCAGCGAACCCGTAGTGGGTCTTGGCCTCCGACACGACACTAATATTTATTACTCTATTTTTTTTTTCAATATGGAATAACAATTATTTCGTCGGCCTAAAAATAGACGGTTCCACAAATCGGCAATTTAGCAGGGCATTTTGGTTGGATATATATTTTATGTTGATTTCTAAAAATAATGAATAAAAGCAGATCAGTCTTTGGTTTACGACGGCGTTTTATGTAATTGCTTAATGTATATTTTTATAACTATAATGATTATTAAGTTACTCTGGGTATAGGTAATACCAGTAGTATCAAATAAAGTCAAAGTTAACATAATACGCGCACACGTTGCCGGCATTAAGTCATGTAGTAATTAGGTCTAGTATATAGGTGTAATTTATTTTGTCAATGTAATTTATGTTACATAATTTGAATAAAAAAAATGTAATGGTATTTTATGTAAATTTCCTAATATTAACAACAATGTTGTAACAGTTGGACCAGGAGCAGACGTGTGTGAACGTGACAGTGGAGCGCTGGTTCCCCGTGGCCAACATGTCGCGACATCTGCCTATACGAGTATACGACTTCTACGCACCAGGTTAGTATTCACAGTCTTATTAACGAGAAAGTTGGGTTTAGGCTGCATTTGATTGCTAGCGATCCGCCCTTGGTTCGTCTAGGTGGCAATTAGTTTCACTTTATTGTCATGTCCATACTATTCCTGTTGTCATCCCATTTGGTATAGCCCAAATGTAGGTTCCTAATGGCGAAATGATTTTTGGAATCTATTCAGATGTTTCGGAGCCAATTTAAACAATCAAATTTTTCTCCTTAATAATCTTACTTACTAATATTATAAATGCGAAAGTTTAGATGGATGGATGGACAGATGGATGTATGGATGTTTGTTAGTTTGTAGCCTAACCAGCTGTACTAATTTTGATGAAATTTGGCATAGATATAGAAGATAGCCTAAAGGAATATAGAGGTTACCCACTTTTGTTTTTTTTTAATTCCACGTAGATGGAGTCGTGGGCGAAAGCTAGTTTTAGCAAAATTATCACACATAAATATAAATTAATAAGGGTTTAATATTTTTTACGCAGAACGATTTAACGAGACAATATTCGACGCGCTACCGACTTACCTCCTGAACATCTGCGAGGTTTGTGGCTCCTCGCAGTGCCCCTACTGCGCCGTGTACAACGCGGCCGCGCGCCCCGCCGCTGTAGCCGGCCTGCTCGCACTCGCCGCACTCCTCGCAAGCCACGCGTATCGCGCTCTCGCTCACACATAGCGCTACCGACATCACGTAAGTTCATGACAATAAAACATCCACACTGGATATGTAAATGAATCTCAAATTGTTAAACAAAACAAGCAATTCATTTTTGAATTAACACTAATTATATGTTTTATATCGAATTCTTATAGAAAAGACGTATTTTCCACAAATATTTTGTTTCTGTGAATCGCGTTTTTTATCTTTGTCGCACTTGTCGATTTAACGTATTGCCGTCTTGCTCTCTCTATAACGCTATACTGTACATCATAGATATCTTAAGATTTGTGGCTCATGTTCGTGGAATTCTTCAATGAAAATATATCTTTATTTACATATCAATTATTAAATAATAAATAATACATTTTGTATTGTTTTTACAATAATTGTGTCAATTATATTGACTGACAGTTTATATTGAGCTTTATATAAAAATATGTAAACATAAAAATTAAATAACATAGAGGAATAAGAAATCTAATGATTTTCATATGATTTTTTTTATAAAACATTCATTCATTTTCAATGACTAAATATAAGCAAAAATTGGTTTAAGATTTTTACAATTTTATATTATTTTTTTTAATACCTTTTCTGTTTTGTGAATATTTCTAAATTAGATTTAAATAATAACCCACCCAGTTATGAAAACATACAAAGAATATGTATATAAAAATGAGTTACAATGTTTATAGCTTTTTGTAATATATTTTACTCAGGGATTTTGTATATCTTATATATCCTGCCAATCCCTTTACGATAGTAGTCGTGAAAGACAACTGTAATTAAAGACTTTAGCATTTATTTTTTCTTAGACTTATGTAAAATAGATTTCATTTTTTATATTTACGTTACAAATTACGTTTTTTCATTTATTTTTTAATTGAACAAAATCCAATAATCCTTTCAAATGATATTAATAGTTTTTTGGTGCTTATGCATTTCTATGATTTATTTGAAGATATATATATTTCATGATATAATTATGTAAAAAAAACTTTAATGTGTGGATGACTTCCATTTTTTGATACAATAAGCAGTGTAGCATAGAATGCGGGCTTGCCTCAATGTGACATCAATTTGTAAGGCAATTTATGTAAATAATTTACTTAAGTAATAACATCAAAGGCACTTTCGATTAGATTTCACTAACTTATTAAAATTTTTGTAAGACATTATACTGTACTAGTTGTTCCCGGACAGCGTCATCCGCGTGAAAATATAAAAAACTTCATTTTATTGTCTACATTTGTCAAAATTACTGTAATAAGCTTGATTTCTTAATGTTGGCAGCTTGTAGTTTATGGTCTTTATTAAGGTTTTTTTTTTTAATTTTTTTTCCCCCTAAGTTTAATAGCGTGAAAAAATATAACCTAAAGCATGTCATAAGTGTAAGGCTTTTGATTAAAGAAATAATTATTCAAAAATATACTGCGATTGCAAGCATTCTACGCCACGAAGTAGTGTGTGTACGCTTTATTATATCAGTATACATAAATTATAACACGGCTAAACTCACGCGACAACCTTCGGTGTAGGCACCGACAGTTTGTTGTTGTTAAGAAAAGGATAACCTAACCAATATTATAATGGCCTAGAGGCATATCAATGGGTTTCTTTATTACAACACTTTTTAATGTACGCATTAATAAAGAATGTTAACTGACAGCAGTCTTTGATAATATATTTGTATTATTTGACGTTTGCCGATGACTCTAACGAAAACTGCGTCTTCATCTGCCCAGTATCTGTAACTCGTGACGTCATAAGACCATCGGCAAAGCTGCGCTAGAATAAAAAAAAGTGGAGAATTCTAAAAGTGACATTGCTAAATTGTTACAATGTCTACGAAACTCTGTAATTACTGTATCCCTTTACAATATATTTTGTATATCTATACTATTATAATAAAGCGTAAACACACACTTCTTTGTTGCTTAAGATGTCAGCAATTACAGCATATTTTTGAATAATTCTTTTTTTAATAAAAAGCCCTACACTTACATCATGCTTTAGGCTATATATTTTCACGTCATTAAACTTAGGGGGTAAATATTTTGGATAAAAACCCTAAGTGGGAAAGAGACCATAAGTTGCTGCCAACATCAAGGAAGCAAGGTTGTCATCATGTCATGTTTTGACATTTGTAATTGATAATTTGACAAATGTAAACAATAAAATAAAGTTTTTATAATTTCATACGGGTGAAGCCGCACCGGAACAGCTAGTTTAAGATAAAAACTACTTCTGCTATATGGTTTTGCTCGTCTGCGATACATTTTGCTTTTTTTATACATTCTGAAATTAAATTTATTATTTCCTTTTTAAAGTTATTTTGTCTCCATCTGGCTGGCTTTTATATATAAATAAAATAATGGTAAATTATACCTTTATTATTAAAGTTCCATTTCTAAATTTTTGTGTTTATGCTTTTTTTTCCATAAGCATTTTAAAATTATTATGTGTTCGAATGAAATGGCTTTAATGGTATTTTAAACATTTTTATAGAAGCAATTGTATTTTAAAAGGGACAATTGAAATGCCTTACAAATGTATTGGATGTGCAATGGAGATATTTCATTAAAACAAGTTAAATGTAATTTAGAAAATAAGTTAAGTGATGTTTTTGTAAGTAGAATAACAATATTTTAAAAGAAAATATATTTTAACGGAATATTTATGGAAGCAGTATTTGAACTGAACCAAGGTACAAAATTGTAAAATTCCCGTCCACAAATTATATTATAACGGCAGGCTATATATAAATTGTATGTGTGAATCTCATGAATGTATTAAGCGCGTTACTTAATAATAAATACTTTATTTTCCGTCCAAAATTTACCAATGTCTGATTTTTTTTTTACTTTTTATATTTGTGTGTATTTTAAGTTAACATTAAGTAAGCATGCGAGTGTGGAATAGTGGAGTAAAATCTCATTATTGACTCTTCATAGATTTATTTCTAAATAAAAATATTTCAAAATTATCCATTGTTTTTTTGTGTATTGCTCAAAACCCTAGCAGAGTTGAAAAGGAAAAGTAAATATGGTAATTTATAGCATTATGCACTGATCTGTATAAATGGATAGGATAGGAAATTACAGTTTTTTTCATTTCGAGTTAACTCAGAGTCGATTCGACGATACTAAAATTAACGAAATACCCGTTAACGACAATTCTATGTCTATTATTAGTCCGGATCCTTACCTTCGCAACTAACCGCTACCGTTAACGCCAAGATGGCAAAAATCAAATGGGCGTCGTTGATCACCTCGGTGTACTCGTCGCTCATTTGCCCCCTTCGTTTATAAAAAAAAGTCAAACAATGAAAGACTAGCCCAGTGAAAGGCAAGGCTATCGGTTGGTTCTGTCTGAAAATACGTAAAACCTACAAGGACATAGAAAAAGACATATAAAATATAAGCTACACTACGAAAACAATTTGTGACATTGACAAGAGGGCGCTACTGTGCTATACTGACATCTATTAAATGGAGTAGCTATAAGGTGTGGTAATTTGTGCCTGTTTGATTTTCGCAATTTTGGCGCTGACGGTTGCGATTTGTAGCGGTGGCGAGGATCCGAACTAAAAACTGAGATAGATTAAACTGTCAGTAGGATCAACAGACGCATTTATCTCGGAATCAGGGAAAAACTGTCGTATCCAAGCAACTGCCTATACATTAAAAATATGTAGATATTAGAGCTGAACTACATGGATGACATGACCACCGGATGAGATAACTTGTCAGTCTATATGTATTTTTAATTGTTAAATTTCTAGCAGTATTTTAGAAGAAAACAATATAAACTGACTTTGGGTTTTAATTCAAAAAGAGCTTTTCTCTTGCACCATATTTACCATATACTATTTTTCATGAGGTCCATATAGCGCGGGGCTCGGAGGAAAGGTTATCAGCAGTAATTTTGTTGTTTTTTTTGTTTATAATAGCTAATTCTGCTGATGATATATCCAAGTATCTATAGTCGAAACAGTCTCACTTGTAACTATTTCTTTTTTCGCCGTTTGGGACGACTGAAACCCTGCTATTTTTACCTTACAATTTTCGTACTCAAAATGTATCGATTTTTAACAATATTTCTGTTAACTTCTGTAAATGCTCACTCCATTTCCATTGTTAATCCCGGACCCAAGTATCCACCGACTAAAGGAGAGGTTTGGCCGAAACCTCGAAAGGAATTTACGGAACTTACATACCTCACCTTTGATCCTTTGAATTTTAAAGTTACAGTAAGTAAAAAATATTTTTTTAATTAGTTCAACTATAAATGATTGCATTTTTTTATTTAGAGTATTAATTTAGTATCATTTAGACTATTAATTTTATCTGTACATTTTGATATAAACTTAATTGATAATCTAATAACTTAGGAGACGAAAAACACATGCGATATACTTACTTCGGCAATCGAAAGATACTCGTACATCGTGAAGAGCAGAGCACCGCAGCGCGACGAGACGCCGGTCTCAAGACCAAAGCGACATGCGGAGGAGGTCCAAAACTTAGCCATTGGTGTCTTGAGGGAGCTACAAGTGGAACTGTCAGAGCCATGCGAAGACTATCCGTATTTAGAAATGGACGAGAAATGTAAGTTTATATTACAGATAATACAATACTATACTGGGACATACGAACCCACATACATTAAAAGAATGTACACATGCGCGAAAAGCTTTATCAGTCAGGTAAATTATATAACTCCAGAATTCCATTTCTCACATTTGTACATGTCGTCGCCCTTTATATTCTCTTTGACTAAAAGTGACAACAGAGACGTATTCTTACAGTCTACGCCATCGGACGAGCAGGTTATTCCTGCAGCAGTGAGCTGATGCTCTGGACTCTACCACCGTCCAATTGCAAATGATTAATCTGCTTCCAGACACGCTGACGGTATCAGAAGTGTCAGTGCTGGCGAGCGACTCCGTTTGGGGCGCCCTCCGCGGCCTCGAGACATTCGCACAGAAGTTCTACCTTTCGAATGACATGAATGTAAGACTAAAACCGGTACTTTCTAAATTGTTTGAGCGAGGCACATCACTTGAACTCTGGCAGCTAGTGATGTGTGTACACGTAAAGAACGGTAAAATGACATACGGATTTACAGAATTAGATATTGTTTTACTTATAAAGATATTAAAACAATTAGAATTTCAATTTCATGCGCATTCGATGGTATGATGGAACTTCTCTGGCTTCTCTCTACAGACTTTTCTTATTG